GGGGGGGGGGGGGGGGGGGGGGGGGGGGGGGGGGTGCTTACGCACTGTGAAAAGAACACTGAAAATGTTGCTATTGCGATGGAAGAATCCGCTTGAACGGTTACATAGAATTATGTGGATGAGAAAAGCCTTAAGCAGGGAAGAATGGAGAGATTGCGAGTAAAACAGCATTCGTAAGTAAAAAACAAAAACATATACTGCTGAAACACTCACTGTTCGTATGCCAACGTTTTAATTTGGCTTTTCACCTTCGCGATTAAGCAAGCTAGGGGGCTAAAGCTCTCCGCAGAAGCATTAAATGCTGCTTTACTCAACTATTTAAAGCTACCTTTACTCATACCAAGATTCCTGAGATTTTCAGGCACTGTCCCTCAATTATTTTCAGTTTCATTTCGAATATGTTGAGCCTGATAAACACATGAAAACATGCACTGTCCCTCCAAGAAAAGACAAAATTTGCAGGATGTCTGAGAAGACTTTTTTCCTGCCTTTGTCTGCACAATTGCATGACTAAACAGCTCCATGCATCTTAATGTGATCGAAAGCCTCAAACATCAAAAGTCTGAGCAATCTTCTTGATCGCAGCGATACGAAGCCTAGGAAGGAAGGCATTTGTCTGAAACGAAAACACATAAGCAGGCAATAGAGAAAATTGCACATTAAAAGTTGTGCAAAGTGCCTCCTCCCTACCGCACTGAAAGTAGCTATCGGCCGAGATTACGCATAAACACATGAAAACATGCATTGCTCCTCCAAACACTGATAAGTATGAACAGGAATTTTTGCATGTGGAACAATTACTTTTGTGCCGAGTGTAATTATCTGGAAAATTTCCCATTCCATTCAAAAGCAACCCAATAATGTTGGGCGACGAATGGCACTAAACAAACGTTTTGAAGCCGCAAAATAATGGATACCGAAACGAGAACCGGAAAACTGGCACAGATCAAATTTCGGTCAAAACTCATCCTCTCCCCTTCAACTTCCTCTCCCCTCTCCGTGTTCTACAAATAGCTCTAGGTAGATGAAATTGATTTAGAGTAAAGTTAAAGAAGCACTCATAATATAAATATAGATAGGTAGAAATTAAAAATTTATGTAAATAGATTTTCACTGTTCTCTTTGGCACTCATGAATATAGTCTGAATATTACACGTGTTAACAGCAATCACTAATTAGCAAGACTGTTGATGAATCTCTTGTTTAAGTGTTGCTTAGAAGCAAGCTAGTGTCGAGTTCATAAAATGTGCCAAGTACAAACGAATCTTAAAATGATTGAATAAGGCAAATTTTTTGTGTGCCAGTTGAAATAAATTGTTTTAGTTCAGCAGAATATGGAATTCCAAACCTGCAGCGAGGTAAAGGTCATCAGAGACCTTAAGAAGTTTTCGATATCTCTAAGAACATTGATCAGCTTGTGTTTGTAGCTAAGGAATGAAACACAGACTCCCTACAACGTAAAATGCCCTTCGGCACATGGCACTTAAGACCAATCCTTCCATTCTACTATTTCAACATGTCACCCCGGAACCTTCAATCTAATGGTTATGAATGTTGATGTAGTACTGCTTGCCATGATTGGGTTGATAATAAATGGAAGGTGCAAGGCAACACAGACAGAAAAGCGGATTGCTTAGTGGTACTCACTCGATGTCATGCGAAAAAATTAGACAGCACGGGCATAATACAAAGTTAGCCGAGTGCATCAGCTTTTCTTCCGAGTGCTTTGGAGCGAGAGCTAGCTACATCTGACAGTAAGGAGGGCAATGCCAATACAAGGAACTAAAATGAAATGATGCAGCAAAACCCAGTATTTCCGAAGTACTCAAAAAATAAATAATTTTTCAGTAGGAAGTAAAAAATTTTTTAAAAAATTCAGCTAGTACAAATCTACTTCAGCCAGCTTTTCAATCCTGTATTTATGAGGATCGTTAAAAAAATTCAAGATATGTCAGCACCTGCAATAAAAACTTAAAACCCATCAAATTTAAACCACCAAATTGTCTTCAAAAACAAAAAATTTCTCGCAAACTAAAAAACTTTAAAGATTAACAAGTTGTCTTCTGCTGTAAAAAGAATGCCGCGACTAAAAACCTGTTTCGCTCTGTCACACGGAACTCATATCAAAATTACCGAGACCGCCGGGACAAGGTTTTATAATACAATGAAATGAATGAAAAAGGCTGAGGGAACGCTCTGGGACATTCTGCCTCACGAAAATAAAAATATAAATAATGATATGCGAAAAATATTAAGAAAAAGTAGTAGAAAATAAACAGAACAGGAATGTTTCGGTGCATTAAATCTTACACATTCTTATTCAGCACCACAATCCAAAAATTGAACTGCGTGCAAATAACAACCAGTTTAGGGATCATTCTTTATATATCCGCTCCGGAACAGAAAAATTGTTGCATGTTGCCTGAATGAAATACATTTTTGACAAGTAACTTTTATGCGCTTTTTCAAGATTGTATTACAAGCCAGCTTATCAATTTCTCCGTGAACTGGCGTATACTCGCCTTTTTCAGTTGCCCAATTGATTTAAATCAAATTTGATGGATTCGCTTTCAGGATTCCGAGAACTGGTCATAATTTATAACCTTTCCATCACTTTTTTTCTAATTTTTGTGTTGAGCTGCGCTCAACAGTTCCGGACCAAACGACCCGCTGCGTGAGGACATTCAAAAGCAACATTAACAAAGGATCAACACACTTTGTTTGCCCAGAATGCATTGGTATTTTTGATTAAAGACAAAAAAGTCGGACTCCTTCCATATTCGCTGTTTATGAGAGGCGAAGATATTCGGGAAGAATAGCTGCAAATGCCAAGAGTAATCACATACCAACAGCGCATCGACGACTCACTTTTCCGAGGGTTACTTAACAAATTTTTGACTTTCTGGCATGACAGTACTAATTTACCATCGAAACGAATGAACAAATCGTAGAGGGATTGTTTTCCCCTCCAACAGAATCGAACCCTCCGCATTCTTTCGCTTCCGATTCATTGAATGCATTTGAAAGTGTAATTAATAATATTCTTTATTCATCAAACAATAAATGTAGCACAGAGCCAGTACAATGGAGCTCAGAACTGCGTAACTGAATTGATAAAAATTATGGATATCGTTGATGAGAGCGAAATACCTAACATAAACCACAATTAGAGGTGGAAATAATAGCGTAAAAACCAACATACGTGATGATATGTACCTGAATGCATTAAAAAACATTTACTTTAGCAAAACTTCAAATTTTAGACAACAAATTATCATTTAGTCAAAAATCTGACCAGCTGTTGTTTCATCGTAGCCCATCTCTGGGCCTCCCACTGTTGCTGTGACCAAAAGCGCATCATCCAATGGTCAGTCTACTGATGAAATCCCCAGTCATGGCCACCCATTAAACATTTACATCGAAAACAGATCAAATATAGAAAACAGTACAACGATTACGGGAAAGAATGTGGACAATTCGTTGTAAAAAATTATGATTAATCTACATCCGTCTGGTGCAGTCCAAAAATCCGGTATTTGAATTTACAGGAAAAAATTCAAATTAATTTTTTAACTATGCCGACTACAACTTTGTCAATTGCTCTGACCAGTGTTTTGCTATCTGGCGGTCAGCCTGCTGAACACCTTGATCATCTATTATTAATTTTTAGTAAGGCAAAAAATAAAGCACAAAATATGAGAAACAATCTAACGTGGATTAGAAAATGAAAGAGGCCTTCTTATATAAACGAGAACCCAGTGAAGGATTATCTAATATGAAATAATGAAAGAAGTCATCCTATACAAAAAAAGTTCAATTTAGGTCCACTGAGAAACATTCACAATGAATTCAAAGTATAATCGTTATAAAGGTTACAACTAATATGATCACTGTACAAGAATAGACATGAATCTCCTTAATGCTCACTTTTCGAGAGGCTAACTATACAAAGGCATTAACGAACTTCCATTCAGAGGCATTTTGGAAAAACAGGGAAGCGATTTCACGCGCAACAGAAAGATAAAGCTCATGAAATGCTAATCCGAAGAGTTTTAAAAAACAACGAATGTCTCGATTCCCACAAATATTATTTTTTACGCTGTTTCACGAATCTCGCACAATCAAGGCTTTTCACCAATTCTTCTCGCTTTCACTCCTTTTTCCTTCCCTTGCCATGTAGCCTCAAGTTTCACTACTTTTTTCATACTATCTTTACATTTACTATATAATTCCGCGTTACTTCCAAGCTATAATTTTTGACCTAACTCTACTTCCAACTTAAAGCACCGACATTGAGACGTAGAATACAACACTTTAAGTCCTCTGCTCAAACCAGTTTGATGCGTGGAACAATTATGCGTGGAAATGGATAAACAAGATCCCTTCAATCCGGATTACAAACTACGCCTCGCAATCAGATTTCTGCCTCTTTTCAGCTATTTCAGAAAAAAAGCGCCAGAAGAGAAGAATTATTTACCTCTAGTGAAAGAAAAAGCGGGAAAATCTACAACATGGGAGTCACAGTTAATCAGAAGATTCAAATTATAATGAAAGATTAAGAAATATTACTTTCGGCATTAGACAAGACAATAAAATAAATTTTCCCAAAATTTTCATGATTTTTCTGAAAAAACCATGAAAATGTTAGATTTTATTAAAGACGAATACTCTGAACCATGAAAAGCTAATTTTAACACTTCTACGCCACAAAATGAGACCAAAAAAGAGACAAAAAAAAATCGGTCAAAGCGTTATTACTGAACCCAGGTGCATCAGTTTCTAGGCAACCCTATGCTGTTACAGATCAAATCATCATTGTCTAGCTGGTGAGGAATATTACATCAAGAAAGCAACAAATCGACCTAGGATCAATCAGCAAATGTACAAAATTCCGGAAAATGATTAAAAAGGGTTATTGTTGGACTGCTTGTTGTCGTCCAGAAGCAGCACTACCAGATGGGCCACCAGCAATTCTTCGTCGCCTGCTTCTAAGTCGCCTTCTCCTGCTACTACGTCCATCACTACTACCATCCTCATCACTTGACGAGGTATCGAAATCGACATTCTCGTCACTCGGCTTTTCTGCTGATGACTCATCGTATTGCCAAACGGCCAATACTCCATCCCACTGAACAGAAAACGATGAATTCTTATGGTCGAATTCAAAAAAAAAAAAAAAAAAAAAACCGGCAAAGGGGAGAAAGCCATTTCGCTTTGTTGATTCAGGAGATCCCAATAATCATAAGTCTTCACTCCTCCTCTTGCTCGCCCGCTTAGAATTTAAGTTTGCCTTTTTGTTTGGTTTTTCAAATTTTCTTTTAAATGCGTAGAAAAAAATTCACAAACATATGCCGGGAAACAGGCTACTAAACAGAAATTTCTACGATCGAATTCAAAAAAAAAAAGAAAAAACAGCAGAGGAGAGCAGGCTGTTTCGTTTTGTTGATTTAGATGATCTCAACAATCGCACGCTTTCAAGCCCCTTATTCGTCCGCTTAGAATTTAAGTTGGCTTTTAAAATGTGTAGAAAAAAAATCTACAAGCAAGCGCCAGGAATCAGGCCAACATTTGCAAAGTTTGCACTGAAGAAGAAGAAGAGAAAAACTTACTGCAGTGCTAATGATTTCATTATCATCCGGATGCCAACAACAATCGCGTACCACACTTCTGTGCCCCTCCAAAATTTTAACGATTGCTCCAGTCAAAATATCATAAACTGCAAAATACGAACTTTTAAAAGCTTTTTACTATCTGAAATGACCACTGGTCAACCATTGAGCCATATTTGGAAAGCTTTCCAACGGTGTAGCTAACAACCATGCCATTCGCCTTCTTCCGCATTTCGCGGCCCTTTACGGGCCATCTTAACCATGGGAAATTATGTGGCCCCTTTACACGTAGCAGACGGCATTTTTTGCACTTTCCAACGCCTTTGACAACTTTTTTAAGGTAAATTTCGACAAAAATCCCCTGCTATTGTAGACGTCACGAACAAGCTGAAGCAGATGGTTAAAAAAGACCCTAAAGAGAGGCACGGATATATCAAGTAGTGTTTTTTATAGGAAAACAAAGAAAACAGTAAGCGAATGAAAAGGTAATCAGTTGCAGGGTGAACAGAAATGCAACCCTAATCACAGCAACCACGGATAAACTTTTATTACCACCCCACGTCTACCACAATCCTGACATTCTTATTGGGAATTCTACTGCTCCTTTCTTTCGTTTCTGTTTGATCCATGACGGAGCTGATTACGATATTAGCTTATGTGAGGCTGGAGGAGAAA